CACTTGCAACAATTCAGAAAGGAGATTTGTGATCTTAGTGGTACTCTAGTAACTGAACATGGACAAATGGAGACTGTATAAGCATTTGAGCTGTGTAAAGAGATGCACTGGCAAGTTAGGACAGTGCCATAGAAGTATCTATTACTTCTTGCATTTAGTATCCCAGTTTCACGCTAAAGTTTGTCAAATCTTGATAACAGCTTGAACTTTTTTTATTTCTTTCTCTAGAACTATTTCCAAGATCCAGCTTATTCTTATTTTTAATTAAAAAGCAATTAAATATCTAGCTTCCTTGAACTCTTGGATGCTAAATTTGAGGAATAAAATGGAATTACCCATGTCAAAGATGCATAAGGATTGCATAGCTAGAAATATTTTGTATTCTGATAAGTTGGCATTAAGATAAGGTTTGAAGATCCATGCACTAAGTACACTAAGCTTTTAATATGTCATCAGGCTTTTACACTAGGCAGAAATGACAGCTGCAAATATATCTTTCCATATATTTAGAGAAATATGCTTACTTGACTCAGTTTAACAGGTTGTGTTCTGTATAATGTGATCATTGTTATAGAAGTTGAAACAAACATAAGGAAAATGAAAATGCAGGTACATGGGAATATCGATACTCAAAATTAATAAGTTGCATTCCTTCTTCAAGAAGCCAGTCTCATAGAATTACATAAGAAGCTCCACAAACTCGCTTGTTTACCTTGTATGTTGAGCACTGGCCGGAAGATAAAAAGTACGCCAAAGAAACTGCAAGCAAGACCTGTAGAGTGGGTCAAAGTAAACACAAAATGAACAAAAAAGAGGAATACAAAATAAAAAGAATATTTATATTTAAGGGACACAACAAGCAAAATGAAAGATAAGATATAGCTGGAACAGAAGATAGAAAACTTGAAACCTCTTTACACCCAAAGGTGAAGTAAAAATTGGAAATGACGAACTTGTCTCCTACAGTCTTCCAAATGACCCAACTAACTAGTAAACACTTCTAATGCACTGTGATCTTCAGATTCAACATAGGCAACAAGGATATGGTTAGACATCAAATTCGGAATGAAAAAGCAGCAATGTGAGCTTGTCCCTAATTATGCTCATTCCTTCCCTAATTAAACACCCCACTGTTGCATCAATAATGATCTTACTAACAAAACTTCTAAAACTTCTTGGCATTCATGGTGTATTTTCTGAGCATTAAGGTAAGACATCAAATTCGGAATGAAAAAGCAGCAATGTGAGCTTGTCCCTAATTATGCTCATTCCTTCCCTAATTAAACACCCCACTGTTGCATCAATAATGATCTTACTAACAAAACTTCTAAAACTTCTTGGCATTCATGGTGTATTTTCTGAGCATTAAGGTAACATTGACCTATTTTATCTTCCAATTTGCTTGTCCCTGTGGAATGGCTCTTACAAGAAACGAGATCTTGAACCATTTGTCCAATGAAAAGAATCTTTGGGGCATGCTTTAGATTCCTATATAACAAGAGGACCAGCTTTCTGATTAGAGGCAAGCAACATGGGGAAGCATATATTGGTGAGTTTGATGATTCAGCCTAAGTAGGAGGATTAATGAATGATGAATTATCTGTTAGAGGCCCAGTTGTTAAAAATCTAGTAATTCAGCTGCTTGATGCTAAAGCTGGTTCGGGAGTTGAAATAAGGAATCCTACAGAAACTTGTCCTCAAGGTGCCTCCCTGGAAACAACGGACGCTGAGCCTTAATGAGAGTTCTTATTGGAGAATACTGCATCACATGTCAATAAGCAGAAGACCTGCATCTGCTGCCCTTTGCTCTTAAGAATGTTTTTCGTTTGGTTTTAGCCACTAGAAATCAAGTCTTCTATAATCAACAGAATGAAGCAATAAATTTAAGGAAGAGTAAGTTTACTGCAAACATTGGCTAACTTCAAAAAAAACCATGTTCAGAGATTGGAAACAGTTTTGGGTTATGTAATGCTGTCACAGTATATTAATGATTCCTCTAGCATTGAGCATGGTTTCCAATATAACTGCATCAAAGATATTTCAGAAATTTTGGAAGTACTTTTTATGTATTTTTTAGGTTTGGCATGTAGTCCACTTGGATTAGGTTTTAAAAGCGCAAATATATTTGGGGTTGGAATCAAGTCCTATCAGCAATCGATAAAACACCAAGGATAACTTGTTGCTAAGGCACAAAAGTCAACCTCAATCAGATTTAGCTGGTCTCAACAATATTTCTCTGTGTAGTATCTGATGCCAATGTCCCAAGGTAGGGCATCCCAAATGCTCCAATTAACGATGACCCTTCTTGTAGCTATAATTCAAGCTTTGCAGCCATTCTTTTAGAGTGTATGATGTTATTACAAGCCTAATGTCTTTAGTATTTAGGTCAAACTTCGCACTTACCTGTTCTTTAGAGCTAATTCAAAGCTTCATTTTCCTCTTTTACCAGAAGAATTTCAATACTCAGAAATCCGATATTCCTTAATCTTAACCAATGAAGATTGCATAATTTCCTTAACCAACTTCGTTTTTCAATTAGACCGTCTAAGTCGTACTAAGTAGTACTTGAAAACTTTTCTCAATGCGTCTTCAGGAAATTTTCTACTTCATGGAGAACTTGTAAACTTTTCTCCTTTTCTCTTCAAAAGACCTAGTTGTGTCCAAGGCCTACTAAGCAGTACTTCTAGACTTTTATCCTTATCTCTTCAGATTACCTTCTACTTCCAACAGACTGATAATTGCAAATAGGTTTGCAGTACATGTAATAGTTGCCTAAATTACAGATATATTGTCACTGTAGAATGTCTAATAACAAAGAAAATTACCTCCTATTTCTGCAATTTTTAACTTCTCATGCAATATGACTCTTGCAGCAACTGCAGCCACAATTGGAGTAGTAAAGTTCAACATGATTGCCTGAGAAAGAGGTACTCTTTGAATGCTGAAAAGGAAATTAGCTCACACATTGTCACAAGTAAATCATCAAAGTCCACAAACATAACTCACCAAAAAAGAAAAACCAAACGCATGGAACAGCAGAGTAAAATAAAAGAACAAAATATTTAATTATGCAAATGAGAACATCAACCCCCCTCCCCTCCCCCCCCCCCCAAAAAAAAAAGAACTAGCTCTGACGAACAACCCAAAAAATAGAAGAGAAAAGAAATTATATAACGGCTAAAAATGCTGCAAATGAGTTCCTTAGAAAGTCAAAGAATAGAACATGAGCAGATTTATTATCATTCCAACTGCCAATAAGGGTGATCTAAGTGCTACTTGAAAAACTGAAAGCAGCGTTGTAACAGATACAGTTTTTGCATAGTGGTGTGTAATATTGTGTAAGCTCAAAAGCTGTATTTGACAAAACAAAATAATTTAGCATGTGTACATCTAGAAAATGTTTAAGAACCAGAAAGTAAAAATGTAAGATAGATAAAAATATAGTGGCTTTATACACAATCTCAAAAGCACTCTAAGTTCTGCAGACAAGACTTAAAAGAAGCACTTCTGTAGCAACAGAGTATAGATACAATCTGTAATAAGTCCTCGGAAAAGGCTAAATCATGCTTCCACTTATTAAAATGATGTATAAACTGCATGGAAGAGAAATTTACAATAAACAAGATCAGCAGCTGAGCTTACTAAGTTGTTAGTCTGACCAAATGCAACTCAATTGGTTCAAGCATTAGAACTCACCAATAAATAAAACTCAACAATGAGAGGTATCCCATGAATGCTCTTAGAACCAATAGTTTTCTGACACTTGATGTACCAAATATTGGCTGTCTGCTTCTTTTCAACCATACAAACGACAAAATCAAAATAACTGTACATCTGGTAAATGCCATCTCAAAAAGAGGAATTGATTGAGCTGTCATTAAGGATGAGCAAAACGATTTATTCCATTAGAATGGGCACAACTTGAAGCATGGGAAGAGACAAGACATTACATGCCCTGAATGAAAAGATTACCCTGTCATTTTAATGACGAAAGATGAAAGTATAAAAGGACCCATTTCAATTAGAGATTCATATCAAAGTAAATAAAGGGGTAATCACGAAAACTCAGAACGAATGCTACATAATATACTTCTAAGATTTACCAAAAACCACCATTCTAACATCTAACTCTTTGCTCTGATTAAAAATCTGTATTGAGTTTCAAGATGGACATTATCGTGGTTGAAGCTAATATTGCAGAGCTGACCAAGCACTAAAAACAGAAAAATCTGTAACATGGTGACTTATAGAGCCAGGGCACCGTAAATCTTGCAGATCCATGGTCCAATTTTAAATGGAAAGCAGCATATTGAACTTGAAACATTTCTCACAATTCTCAAATATGTAAATAGTTGTTCAGCTTTAGCTGAAATGCCCACATTTGCATTAATTAAGCAGAAAAAAGAAAAGGATGTATTCAGACTTCTAAACAAAATAAATTAACTAGTAAAAAAAGAAACATTGCAATTATAGAGGAAAAAAGAGTAATATCCAGTCAATTCACCAAAGAATTGTCAATCAGTTAATTACATTTACTAAGACAAAAATTTAATGATTTATTACTTCATGAAAACATCTAAATATCATCTCTTCATATAATGGTTCAACTTTATATTTCTAATTGGATATTTTACCATCCAATTACTCTATGTATTATGGTCATCAAAGGACTGGAGAATCCATTAGTTTTGACAAACCAAAAAAGGATTTAACTGAAGGAAATCTCAACGTAAAGGAGATAAGAGGAAATCTCTGGCATAATTAAGCTTATATATGCCTTAAATGTCTTTGACTCTTTGACTCCTAAGACCACTATTTGACATCACCATAATTTAAAGCTATGCATACAATATTTTCCATGGTCGAGTGGGGGACATAGTCAAAGAAAATACAGCCAGTCATGGAGGAGAGGAGGGAAGCTCCCATATTTGAAAGATAAGGAACCTTCAAGCCCGAATCATGTACTCCACCTTTTCAATTGAAGGCCCAAATTTTCATCTACATAGTTCGGAAGGATTAGCTTTCACTCCTTACATTGATCACATAAAGTTATTAATGAGAGGACAAATCTTCACCAATCTCTTTCTCGTAAAGGAAGATGTAATTGGCCTCATGTTTATTCACACCAAGAAAAAAGATGATAACTAAATAAATCACACAAAGCTTATAATTGAAACCACAGAAATAAAGATCTCTCTTCAAAGTGCTAAGCAACTAACAACTTGTTCAAAATAACTTTTTGTTTGATTGAGAGCTATTATTCGTAAATTGAATCAGTGAGTTACTTACCAGTGAAAACATCTGAAAGAACTTCCATGATACAGTAGATAATAGATGATAAGGCCATGCATAGCATACCAGAGTACCTAGAACCATCCCATATCCAAACGGTAAACTGCACGAATGGTGATGTCTCTGTTTCAGCCAATCTTGTTATTTGCTCCTGTAAGATACTAAAAGTAAGAAATATAATAGCCTTTCCTATGTTTAACCAACATATTTGAAGCAGAACAAGCATAAGTGATTCATACCAATAAAACTATGGCCAGAAACAATTTACTTCTCTGGGAAACCAAATTAGCACATGAAATACTAGCCATCAACCAGATAACAAATTCTACCCACTGATGCATTCTGAACAAGACTAGAAATTTTTTTTCTTGATATATGTGTGTAAATTGGAATAAAACACAAGAATCAAGCAGCAGTACAATGCCTTTACATGAGAATCCCAACTCAAGAAAATTAAAAGACAATAAAAACTAGACAGCCAAAACAAAGACTTTTGAAGCTTCAATTTAATCATAATGATCAGCCAACCACTAAATACTCATCCTACTGCAAGAATTGATACTTCCTATTTCAGACAGATGTAACTTTGACTCATCATATTTTCAAACAACATCAGAAAACTATAAAAAAAAAAAATCAAAGGAAAACAGTAACAGATACAAAAGAGCTACTTATAGCATTCAATTAAATTTAAGGAGAAAGAGCAATATCCCAAATCCACTAGAAATCTAACACCAGTCATGTAAAACAAAGAGAATGATATTTCAGTAGGTAATCAAGTTCTTTTAAGTTATGTAGAAATAAGTGGCAAATAATGCCGTTACTCCCCTTTTCCAGTAAGGGTTTTGGTCAGTGAATTGTAATTAGTGTTTAGAGTTAACTACAGTAAACAATCACCAGCAATGACAGAATAGTCTATTTGCCCCTTCAAGAGTACTAACAGAATTAAACAGCTGGGACAAGATTAAAAGAAATTCAGATACTTGGGCTTCCATCTGAGGAGGTTAACTGTCATTAATGTTCTCTCCCACTTAGAAATTGTCAATTATGCTTCCTAAAGTATTGGAAGAAAACCAATAAAGTGAACAAGTTCCATGGAATTTCCAATGGGAAGAATATAAACCATCTCATCTTCATCAATTTCTCAGCTCAATCTTCAGCAATTCCTGATAATCTATCAAACTTAGAATCACTTGGCCATAAAATCCATCTTACTAAACCATCCACCGATCCAGCATTTGATACTACCAGATATTCATCGTCTTTCAAACAGGTAAAGTACTGGATCTAAAACCATTCCCTTTCAAATAATAATCAACCCTTTTTTTCAAACAATCAACCTTATAATAGCACAAAACTTTGATCGCCAGCTCAACACAACTAACCAAAAATCGAAAATTAAGTAGCTTATATTCAAAGCTTTGAAATTTCATCCTTTATCACAAATAAATAACTATTACATATATTTTCCTATTCATAAGTAGTTTCTCAAGAAATATAATTGACAGTGATCACCCAACAACAAAAAGAATACGATTCCAGTATAAGCAAAGTCAAGTCTATGCAATTTTAAGGAGTGAAGTTCAACTTAGATTAGAAACATATCCGAATTTCAAATACTAGCTCCAAAAATCTACTATACTAAGCTCGGCTTGATCAAATAAATAAACATTTTTTTCCGTTTGAGTAATTAACTATCTATAGAACATTATTTCTACTGTAAATTACACAAATAAACAAATGTTTGAAGCCAAAAAAAAAAAATTCATAAGAAGGAACCATATAAAATTATAAACTACCAAAATTACCATGCTATATTCGCCACAAAAAAAATAAAACAAAATAAAATAAAATAAATCATGGAAGTCAATTTCATTTTTTGTTTTCTTTTCTTGGAAAAAAAATAAGAATCTTTGTGGTCACATTTTCAAGTTTGTGTCCAACCACATTAATATTTTGTTGGTGATAATTGGTGGATATATCAATTTTGCAAGAAAATTAGTTTGTTAATTATATTTCGGAAAATAACTTAATTTTTTTTTTAAATCTAGCTAACGTTCTAGTATGGCTTGTAGAACTTTTCTTGCTTCATTTCTTATTTTCTTCTTGATTTTATCCATCTAAATCTTTCAGAGATTTGAAAATAACAGAAAGGGATAATTTCAGAAACCTCCCCTGAGGTTTATAACAGTTTCACTGCCCTCCCTTGAAGTTTTCAAAATATCATTAACCTCCCTTAAAACTAATGTTCTTGTAACAAATTAGTCTAATTCAAAAAATCAACAATAAAAAAATGATTTCAAGAGTAAGAAGAATATTTCATACCAAAAATACCCCTTAACTTATTACTAATTGGTTATCAAAAGGAAGTATTAGTTAAAAATAGATAATAAAGACTAAACCCTAGCATGAATGTAATAGAATTTAGTAATAATAACCATTTTCATAGTACTATATAAAATAACAAAATCAAAGTATTGGAGAGGAAAACTTATTAATTTGGAATCAAGATTTATGCAAAAATTTTCTAAACTCTTATAACTAGTTTGGGAGCTGCGATTTGATGAAAAAAAATGTGATAAAAAAGACACTCTTTCTAGTATTTGGGAGTTTTTAAAGAACAGCAAAGGATGAAAAGCGTCTAATTTGGACGAATGAGCTCCCATTGTTATGACTACCAAAGTTTTCCGCCCAAATGCAGGCGGAAAGCATTACAAAAGCCAAGAATGCCTAATAAAATTTTTCTAAATGCCAATTTTGTCCTCAAGGGTATACTAAACAAATTTTTATTGACATATATACCCAAAATCATGCCTTTTCCTACTTTAATTCTCAAACAATATTAAAAACTCTTCTCTTCTTTTCTTTCATAACTTAACATTTCCCATGTTTTTTTTTCTAAGCTAAACATTCAAACTAGCTATTAGTATCAAAATTTGAAAGATTTTGAAAAGGAATTGAACAAAACAAGTATGGCCTTTATAAGAAAAAAATCACTATAGATGGCAAATGATAAAAAATATGAGTAACTCTTATATATACTAACAGTGTATACACTATCACGGTTCGATGAATGATATTTGCGCAAAATTTGGGTTTCAAATTTAGATTCAGATTATGTGTCGTGCATCCAATGGTAAAAATGCATATACTGTTAGTGTATAGAAAATGAATAGAAATTTCCATCATTTGTAATTTAAAAAAAATACAACTCTCAAGTAACGTTTGGATTAATAAAAGGGTATGATTTTAATGGAAAAGCAAATAAATCAAAGTAGAAAAAAAATTTTCTAACCATTTTGTTTGGATTACTTATACAAAGAAAATAAAAGAAAGACCAAATATTTTGGAAAAGAAGGGAAAGAATAGATTATGTGCAGTTACATTTTATCCATAACTTAATAAAATCTAATTGTAAACATATTTAATACTTTACCCTCTTTTGTGTATTTTCATATTCATCTTGTTTTTCTTATGAAAAAATTATGAAATAATAATATTTAATCAGAATTTTAATCTTTGTTTAGGAGAAAGAAATTATAAGAACTACTAAAATATAGAAAAAGAATTTTAAAATGCTAGCAATTATCGTTATAAAATTTAGTATTCAAGATTTTCAATTTTTTTATATTCAAAATCATGGTTAATTTAGTACAAGTAACTAAATTGTTTCTCTCCATATAAATACGTAATATTTCCTAAGTTGTAAGGATAGTATAGTCATGTCACCATTTATGAGATAAGCATTGGGTTCCAAATGACTAATAGGGGAGGTAAGTGGTATTTTCAAAACTTCAAGAGAGGGCAATGCAATTATCAGAAACCTCAAGGAGATTTCTGAAATTATCCCTAACAGAAATCCTGATTTTTGGGTTGAACGTTGGAAGAGTCAAACAGTAGGATAAACATTCACATGTTATATGTTCATCTACACTTATATGTCTAGTAACAATGAAGAGAATTCTCAGCTTTCACAAAATATGCAAAACTTTTGTGTTGCTGCTGGATCTAGTACTAAGGTGAAAAAGCCCTTCAAGAAGGTACTACCATTATTTTCCACACCTTTATTACTTCACTATTTTCCAAAATTTTCCTCTAGTTTACCAATTTGTCTTTTTAAAACGTGGTTTTGGGGAAGTTTTACAGTGCATTTTGATGTCTATTATGACACGCATGTTTTATTGGTTATATTTTTTGCTGGTGCAATTATTGGAATTGAATCACAAGTTGCAATGGTCTTTTAGTGTGAGTGATGATCATACTTGGCTTTAATTTGACTGAGTTACACATTAGGCTGCCTATAGCCATTGAAAACTGTTCTTTACATCATCTACAGGATCTTTGTTGTTCAAAATAAGCACTAAATTTCATGATTATGTAGCTAAAAAGTTTATACCGTATTCAATGTAACACTGATACCAGAAGTTATTTAAGTTTCAATTGAGCATCTGTTGATTGAAGTATGGGCTGGAAAACTTAAGTTATGGTTACTGCATTACATATCACCTCAGATGCACTGTTGTTGCTTCACAAATATCTGTATATTATTGCAAATGAACCAAGTTAAGAACATACTAATTTGTTGTATTACTGGAGAATAATTTGATCTCAGGGTTTCAAGATTTTTGTCTAGCTTGCAGATTTGAATAATCATCATCTCCTTGTTCTGGAACCAATTTGTTGTATCACTGGAAGCTATATATAATGGCCACCGGGCAGTTTATAGATTCTGCAACCAGGTAATAAGTTAAGGACCATACCCTTCTTTGTTAATCTAGGAATCAATTCTGTAAACCATTTTTTCTTCTTTGATCAGGAAGTCAAAATCTAAAGCATCATCAGAAGTGCAACTTTGTGTTGATGGTGTACCTTTTACACTAGACAGGGTAAGAACATCCTCTAGATGCAGCCATTTCGCTTCCCATTTTTTTCATCCTCTAATTGGTTAAGGAAATCTTGTCTTTTAAAGGCCCTGATTTAGATATCCCTTCTGCTTTGTTTAAAGTTTATATAAATCTGATAGTTGTTAACTGTATTAGGAACTTCTGGCTTCTAAATCATCAAAGCTAGCTGTGTTGCTCAAAGATCATCCAAGTGAGGATCTCACAAATGTTCTTAGAGATGCCCCTGCTGACCCAGAAACATTTGAGCTAGTTGCAAGATTCTGCCATGGTTACGAAATCAACCTGTCAACCGAAAATGTCACGCATGTTGCTTGCCTAGCCCACTACCTTGGAATGACTGAGAGCCACTGCACCAATAATTTGTTCAGCAAGGCTCTGGACTTCTTTGAACACCAAGTTGTTTCTAGTTGGAACAAATCCATTAGAGCCCTCAAGGCCGCAGAGGATATTCTTCAACAAGCAGCGGATCTTGGCCTGGTTGGTGCCTGTGTCGAATCAATAATCTTAAAGGCTTTGGAACATCCACATCTTCTTGGAGAATCATTCAAGGACTTGACCTCCAATGATGAAGGAGAGGACAATGAAAATTACTTCAGGCCAAATGTGCGGAGGAAACTCTTTGCTTTGGAATGGAAATCTGAAGATTTGTCAATATTGTCTCTCAGGCTCTATGAGCCCATCATTGGTGCAATGATTGAGCGGGAAATCCCAGCAGAATACATAGCTGCAGCTGTATGTCAGTATGCAAAAAAGTGGGTACTTTTCAGCATGAAAGAAGGGGATGATGGTTCAATTTACAAGAAAAGTATCCAGAGAGAGATAATTGAAGCAGTGGAGAGAATGTTACCAAATGCAAGAGGACTAATACCCTGCGCATTACTATTTGAAATGCTACGGTCTGCAATAGCCTTGGATGCTAGTAACGAGTGTAGAAATGGATTTGAAATCAGGATTGGGAAGCAATTAGACCAGGCGACTGTGAAAGATCTCCTGATACCTTCTCAAGGATATGCCAAGGAAGAACGGTATGACACAGAATGCGTGAGGAGGCTCATGAAGAATTTCTATCGCAATTATACTGGAAAAGATGGACATGAATTGATCACAGTGGCAGAACTTATTGAGAACTTTCTGATTGAAATTGCTAGTGACATAGACTTAAAGATGAGCACATTTATATCACTTGCTGACTTTTCACTTGCAGCATCTAGAGGAATTCTACAAAATTCAGATGGAATGTACAGGGCTATAGATATCTACTTAGACAAGCATAGATATCTGACAGAATCTGAGAGAGAAGAGGTATGCCACCTGTTGGATTGCAGCAAGATGTCTCCAGAAGCTTGCTTACATGCTTCAAGGAATGAAAGATTGCCTGTGAGAGTAATGGTGCAAGTGCTATTTGCAGTTCAGTTGCAAATGCGAGAGACTATGCCAAAGGAAATCAAGGGATCAGAGGAGGGGAGATTATTTTTAAAAGGGGCAGAGGAAGAGGAAGAGGAAGAGGAAGCAGCAACAAGGGGTTGCAACAGCGAAGAAGAAGTGATCAAGGCAGAGATGGAAAAGATGAGCAGCAAAGTGTTGGAACTGGAAAGAGAATGCGATATGATGAGAAGGGAAATCCTGAATGGTAGCTGCAGGAAAGCTAGAAAAGGAAAAGTGAACATGTGGAAAGAAATGAAGAGGAAGTTAGGATGCATAACCAGCATGCATGATTGCAACTGCCATGTCAAGAAGAAGAAGGTCCATCCAAAATAGGAATGCAAATATCAGCTTTCTTTCTTTGTACTCTTTTTCCTTATTCTTTTGTTTTTTTGACTTGAATATGTCTGATAGGATATTTCTGGAGATTGCTTATTAATTGATGGGACGACTATGAATGTTCTGCTCTAACTAGACCTTGATCTTTTGGCAGTTCTAGTTTAAGTGGTTCTCATTTCAAGTTTCATTTTTTCAATTATTTGTTGCTAAGTCAAAAGTTATTTTCTACTTCTTAGATTATGTTGGAAAGTGAAACTATGTAATTTTCCATAGTACGGCACAGCACCTGTGATGATACAGATTTTTGTTGGTTATCATTTCCTGCATCAAATGTGAATGCAGAATTAAGTTCTTTTCTTCTAGTGTTAAGGATGGTTGGTGGCAATAGAAAAACCAAATGAAGCCATGATCTGAGTTTCAAGCAAATTGTGCTACCTGTTCTGCAATATTGCACCAAGTTTTTTTCCATTGATATTTTATGTAGCGTTAATCATGCTTTGCCCTCTCAACGCAATACGGAATCACCCTTTATCATTCCAATATTGGATATATCCACTTTGTTCCCCACCTCCTGCCTTTTCTTTCTCTTTTGGATCTAACGTCAACAATCTATTCTACTCTTATGCTAGAGGGGAGAGCGTAATTAGACTTGTACGAGATTGGAGGTGAGTTTTTAAACCAGACAAGTGTATTAATGCATTTTCTAAATCTTATGACGAAAGGAAGTATTATACTTCCCGCTAATGCACGAGGGAGGGCAGACCAAAGCCCAATGGTTGCATGTATACACTTTGTCACCTCACTTGGGCAAATTTTTAGAAATAATGTAAAAAAAAGTCACAAATTTAGGGGGAAATGCACACCATTTCTTCATATAGGGTCACTGCAATTGAGCTATGCAGCACCTTGACATATCATTTCCTTTTTCATTTTTTTCAACACCATTTGCAAACTTTTGCATTCGAATCCCAAAAAGAATTTTTTTTTTTTAAAATGGTGTCCTAGATGTGGCGACACTGTTAATTGATAATTTGTGGTATCTCATGGGATGTACAGCTATATATACCCAAAAAAAAAAGGTACGCTTTTTGCAAAAGTCAATACAAATGGCCTTTGCAGTAAAGAGCCAAAATTTGCCATCCAAGCGAACCTTTGCCACAAAGATTTCTATTTACTTCTCTTGCGTATGTACCTCATTTTGTATTTCATAATTTCAGCAGCATTTTTGAACAATTGACTAACCATAATATATTTCAAAACATACTTTTTAAATTTATGATTTTCTAATATTTTCATTATCAATTAACACTGTAGTCGAAATATTGGCACTCAGCATTGTAACAGACCTCTCATTATCATTGCCGATTTTTTGACCGAATTTTTTTCCCCTTCTTTTGGTGGAATAATTCGATGAATTAATTGCTTTGGCGTTATTTATCCCAACTTAGCTTTGTTGAACTGATGGGAATACTGAGAATCTTATTTTAGATGAATTAACTTCAATAAGAATTGCCCAAACAAATTGTATGTTATTGTAAATTGGTTTCTCTGACAAAATGAAGCATAGCAAAGGATTGTTACTGCATACGCTTTATCTAGAGAAGAGGCAAACTCATCTAATCTTATTTTAGATGAACATCAGATTGAAGATTTCTTGGTGCTCAATATATATGTATATGTGTGTATATATATATATATATAGACATGTATAGACACACATCATGATTCCAACATTAATGGAAATTCTCGACAAAGAAACAACATCTTTATATTTTTTGACCCTTAAAAAATCGTTTTGAATTAGGACAAGAAGATGCAAAAATGAGCAAGCAGCAAAATTAGCACGTTGTTAAGCTGTTGCCTGCAAAACTCCCCCCAGAGTAAAAAAAATACAAGATGGTCACAAATTCTATAGTACAGTCTATATTGATATCCTTGTCATCTCTATTTTGCACAATAAAGCTGTCGCTGATACGCAGGTAGGAGCTGTAAAGTCACAGGTGGTATTGAAACCCTTTTGGCATGAAGGCAAGCACAAAAGAGTCTTTTCTGCACCGAATTGGGGTGAATATATCCTCGACAGATTGAGTTCAACAACAAAATGTTTCAATCAACCTCTTTTTCGGGTCCAACGTACATAGTACAACATGCTGAAATCAAGATAAGTGTACAGCCAACTAGTCTACCAAATGTTGGAACTATTCTAGATAAGCTCATTCCAAGCAATTGAGTTGAAGCAGCCTAATAACAACACCAAGGAGAAGGAAAGAGGATGCAATTAGCAAGAGATATTGTGTTAGGTTTCAAATGCAGTCGTGTAACTAGCATGAAATTAGGATATCAATTCAGCAACTATAATAATTATACAAGAGCCCAACAAATTCCAAATTCCAAACTCCATCTAACTGCTAACAACAGGGCCTTTAACTGCTACACTGTTAATCGTGGTGTTTGAACTAACTAACAACTTCCTATTAGCTAACACTTCTTTCCCGGCTTGTAAATTGCGGAGCGGATTAGAAATCTAACACTTCCATAAGACACTATCACAAACATGAAAGCATACAACTGCATATTTTTCCCTTTCAAGGATTCTCGTAGATATGAATCTCGAGTATATGTGGAGGCATATGGAAAAACTCATTAAGTCAGTGTTATTACATACTGTCAGTACAACTGATCAAATGTTGCATACTGTCATTAAGTCAAAGTTATTATCCAAAAAATAAGAAAAAAATCATTAAGTCAATGTGATCACATAACTACTTACAGATACAGGAGAACTCCCACAATAATAGGCCAGTTTGTTTCCACCTTTTTTTAATATATAAATTACCAAAGCCATAAAATGTATCATGACATCATCAGAAAGACACTGCATGTTCCTAACTGAATGTTACCACATAGAGAGTGAGACAGCTGGTATAAAAGAACTGCATCATATCCAGACTAAATGGTACAGTATGAAGCACTACATAATACCTGAAGATACAGAATATTCACAACTTTGCTGGTTTTCTCAAGCTGAAGTGCACGTGCTACAGTTATCTGAAGAGAGAAAAATGTGTCAATGGGCATCCAAGAAATAGTTATGATCAATATTCAGCCACAATTCGTTTTCAGATCAAATTTTGAAATTCAAACAATGTGAAAGGATTAGAGCTTCAGAGAGTGACCTCTGCCAAGAAAGCTAATGAACCAAGTATCACCATCAGAAGAAGAGTATAAAAACCAGGAAGCACAAAACCCTACATGAGTACACGAAAAAGAAATAGTTGTAAGAAAGCAAGATAAAAAATGATACATCATGTAGTTGGTAAACAGCAGATGTCTTTTAAATCAGTGCAATGTCTAAAACACGCAAAAGAAGCACACATCAGACGATCATTTACATACTTTTGTCCATGCCATTCGAAGCAAAAGATTACAAATTACAATCTTTATTCAACAAAAGAACCTAAACCAAGAGATATGATTAAAAGCTCGTGTCATCTTAATGCTTAATTCACTTAGAGAATAGAAAGGCTACAGCATTTACCTACGGAGTAAATATATATGGCCAAAAGACTCCACTTGTACATTGGATCTGACCTTTTACATTTTCTTGCACATAAAAGGACCTTCTAAACAATTTTCACAAGATTAAAATGTGCCCATAGGTATATCTATCTCAGGATGACAATCGACAAGCAACAATAGATTCTGCTGTTCGAGGTTAACCCGTGACCATGTAAGAATTACAACTCCAACAATCTACCTTTTTTTTCTTTTATTTGCACTTGCATTTTCTAATCTTTTATGTGGCAGTATATGTTGGCTTTCTAAATTACATTCAGTAACAAAACCATCCCATTAGTACCTTATACAATTTGATTTTCTAGTCAAGTTGTTGATTATATTTGAACTCCAACTTTCATATTAGCTTTATCAGTAAACAAAGGCATAAGATTATCTGCTGATAAACTTCCTTAGAATTTTGCTTTTACTTGAGTAGTTTATGCCAATAAAACTAAATAAGTTTGAAATTGCTATAATCTGTTAGGCAAAAAGGAAAAAATAGACTACCAAGCAAAGCCACAATAAAACCAAGTAGATCCAATGCACTCATCAGACAACCATAGTAGAAGCAACATTTTTTGTATGATTTATTGGGGTCAGGATTCTATAAAAAGAAAGTAAAAAAGGAAAAAAGCTCTTTTGTAATTCTTCTCCTTATTTCTGTCCTTGTGATGGCAAGATATAAGCTGCATAGTTGAAAGGAAAAACGCCGGCATTCAGGTCTGTTGAAAAGTTAATAATATTGTTATTACCACTGCTTGAGGCACACTCCATTTGTGTGCTACACAAGGGTGTGCTAAATAAGCAGAGAGAATGTAATTGTTGATTTAGGAGGTGATATATAGTCAATCTAGTAACTCAAAACCAGTAAGGAATTTTTTGAAACCACAAAAAATGACATGACACTAGTCTATCTTCAGGCTATAGATAGAGTAAGAGAAGATTATTGAAAGGAAAAGTCTACAATAAGTCTTTTTAATGAGATTGTATGTCCTAAACCTAAATGAAACATGAGATTGCATGTCTTCACAAAAGCACAGAATCTTTTTGAGGATGACGGCAGATAGGAGTAATCATCCCAAACTCTATGCCCAAGCCAAGAAAGTGTATATTTTGGACAAAAGAAACTACATGAGCAATAAAAGTGAAGGGGACTGAGTCTTGTTATGCAGGAGACTAAACAGACTATTCCTTCTCTCTTACAGATACCTTAGTCTCTTTTTTTCCACGAAGGGGATGAAGGGGGTTAACATACCGAGCTATCCCTTCTCTATCATTTTTTTGTGAGTTCTGAGCTCCTAAGCACCTTGCTATAAAGTTCTTAGGGCTGTTTAAAGTAGCTTCCATTCGCTCATTGTTATTTCCTAATGCCTTTAGTGCATGGACTGATATTATACAAAAAGCAAAAGAAAAACAGTACTTCCCTAATGAGAGCCCCAACTAGAATACAGTGGTGACCAAAATATCATAAAAAAAGCAAAAGAAACTTGCAAAAGCATATAATAAATAAATAGTATCTATAAACAGCTTGAAACCAATAATGAATTACCTCTACTTTTCAGTTTTAACATTAAAAAAGGCATGGGCACATTGTAAAACAAGACAAATGGAGAAAGATAAAGATACTCAGTTGAATATTTTTTTTTTAAATGCGTTTTAGGAGATATCAGTTCAAATGAAACCTGAAAATTGTCAGCAACTAATGGCACAGAATAATCACTTAAAAGTTTAACTCATCCAAACGAAATTGTGTTAAACAACATATATGAGAAAGTTATACACCCTCATTACACAAAAAGGAACTACATTTCTAGCAGCCGTCACAATTACAAATCACGCACTAGAGCACATTGGTAACATTAAAAAGGGAGTAGAAGCACCTTAGATCTCTTGAAATTTCATATGAAAAGACTTGCACCACATTCACCACCTACCCAGTCCCCAAGTGATTTAAGTCTCAATAATTTTTTTTTTTTTTTTTGACAGTCACAACAAGTCATGGCGCAACTAGATGCAATAGCTTTCAGATAAGCAAATAATTGCAACCCTTTTCAATTTAATTTGGAAAACATCATCATTTCAAATATCCATAAACTTGCATGTAATAACACATCTAGGCAATAGCTCATAAAGAAACATGAAATGAATGATACAAACATACAGCAATAAGAAATTTTAACTCAAATTGCAATCTTACTTCAAAGATGAATGCACATATTGCTGCAGCAGGAGTGGCAAATAAGCCAAATGCAAAGACAGTGAGTCTGAAACATCAAAAGAAAACTATCAGAAAAATTGGGAACAGATAAAAAGGCCAATTATGACATACCCACTCATGTAATTTGTATACTTCAAAGGTGTCCAAGATGAAAACTAACATCACAATTTGTTTGGATGAATATCACTGGTCTATCTGATTAAAGCCTCAAACCAAAAAGACAAATAACAGTTCTCAATGTCATAGGAAAGCAACTCTAGTATATTTATTAATGTAAGAAGACAACCAAAGGAGCAAAATATACATTGATAAATAGGACCAAAAGTTTTAGAAATGTAACTTTATTAAATGGGGTAAACCAAAGTTCTTTTCTCCCTCCATTTCCCCACTAGTCAACTATACTCATCCCACCCATCTTCTGAAGTGTAGGAAGTAAATATGTACAAATCAATCAATGAACCAGACAAGCAAACCATTGATCTTACAAAGGTTGATCAGCTGCCTTAGCTCCAGCCCTTATAAAGCAGTAGCTAACTCCGCCAACTGTTGATGAAACTAAACCAACTAGAACTGCATATAAATGATTACTTCCCTTGACATAAGAAATATTTGCTTCTCCAGCTTCAGTTGAGCCTGCCACAAAAAGTTGGACAAATGACACTAATAACAAACAATTCAGTAATGCTAAAGCAGGACATAAGGTATCTGATTATACTATTAGAACATCAGAGGGTGCAGAAAAATTTTATCACTCCTCTTATTTATGATCCCAAGGAAAATAGTAGAGGACAATGAAAATCCTTAAATGGTTTTATGCCTATGGTGGTAAAACTTATTTTAGAAGGCTTTAAGATATTAAAAATTTAGGAACTTGCTAACTAGTTAAAAAGTATAGATGGAAATAGTGCTCTTACAAATATAAATAATAACAGCAACCAGAAAACTAGAATTTTGAGAGAAGCTTTGCAGGATAGTTGCTAATTAACAGGGAGATCCTGGGTAATTTCTGATTTTACAGCATTTCAGATCATTGTACTACTAATTAGAGTATAGATTTCTCTTGCATAGTAGCATAGACCTTTAAAATTTCCATGAATACCATAGAAAAAACTAATGCTTTCTTGACCTTTCATGGGTCAACTACCAGAGAATACATGGCAATCCTCTGCATAGCTTTCAAAATGAAATGACAAATGACAGCTCTTCTAAGTGTTGTGGCAAAATATCAGTCAGGAAATTGTAAGCTAGGAAAAATAATCACCGATTATCCGCTGCTTTAGCAAAATTAATGGTTTGGAATTGAATTCAAACAGGAATCCTTTGGAGCAAACATGCCGAATATATTCCTAACCCTGAAAACATTTACATAAGGATTAAGGACAGCCTAAGCTAGATTAGCTTCAGCTGGGTAATGTTATCTTTCTTCTCTTTTAAAGGTAGTTCACTTGCAACAATTCAGAAAGGAGATTTGTGATCTTAGTGGTACTCTAGTAACTGAACATGGACAAATGGAGACTGTATAAGCATTTGAGCTGTGTAAAGAGATGCACTGGCAAGTTAGGACAGTGCCATAGAAGTATCTATTACTTCTTGCATTTAGTATCCCAGTTTCACGCTAAAGTTTGTCAAATCTTGATAACAGCTTGAACTTTTTTTATTTCTTTCTCTAGAACTATTTCCAAGATCCAGCTTATTCTTATTTTTAATTAAAAAGCAATTAAATATCTAGCTTCCTTGAACTCTTGGATGCTAAATTTGAGGAATAAAATGGAATTACCCATGTCAAAGATGCATAAGGATTGCATAGCTAGAAATATTTTGTATTCTGATAAGTTGGCATTAAGATAAGGTTTGAAGATCCATGCACTAAGTACACTAAGCTTTTAATATGTCATCAGGCTTTTACACTAGGCAGAAATGACAGCTGCAAATATATCTTTCCATATATTTAGAGAAATATGCTTACTTGACTCAGTTTAACAGGTTGTGTTCTGTATAATGTGATCATTGTTATAGAAGTTGAAACAAACATAAGGAAAATGAAAATGCAGGTACATGGGAATATCGATACTCAAAATTAATAAGTTGCATTCCTTCTTCAAGAAGCCAGTCTCATAGAATTACATAAGAAGCTCCACAAACTCGCTTGTTTACCTTGTATGTTGAGCACTGGCCGGAAGATAAAAAGTACGCCAAAGAAACTGCAAGCAAGACCTGTAGAGTGGGTCAAAGTAAACACAAAATGAACAAAAAAGAGGAATACAAAATAAAAAGAATATTTATATTTAAGGGACACAACAAGCAAAATGAAAGATAAGATATAGCTGGAACAGAAGATAGAAAACTTGAAACCTCTTTACACCCAAAGGTGAAGTAAAAATTGGAAATGACGAACTTGTCTCCTACAGTCTTCCAAATGACCCAACTAACTAGTAAACACTTCTAATGCACTGTGATCTTCAGATTCAACATAGGCAACAAGGATATGGTTAGACATCAAATTCGGAATGAAAAAGCAGCAATGTGAGCTTGTCCCTAATTATGCTCATTCCTTCCCTAATTAAACACCCCACTGTTGCATCAATAATGATCTTACTAACAAAACTTCTAAAACTTCTTGGCATTCATGGTGTATTTTCTGAGCATTAAGGTAAGACATCAAATTCGGAATGAAAAAGCAGCAATGTGAGCTTGTCCCTAATTATGCTCATTCCTTCCCTAATTAAACACCCCACTGTTGCATCAATAATGATCTTACTAACAAAACTTCTAAAACTTCTTGGCATTCATGGTGTATTTTCTGAGCATTAAGGTAACATTGACCTATTTTATCTTCCAATTTGCTTGTCCCTGTGGAATGGCTCTTACAAGAAACGAGATCTTGAACCATTTGTCCAATGAAAAGAATCTTTGGGGCATGCTTTAGATTCCTATATAACAAGAGGACCAGCTTTCTGATTAGAGGCAAGCAACATGGGGAAGCATATATTGGTGAGTTTGATGATTCAGCCTAAGTAGGAGGATTAATGAATGATGAATTATCTGTTAGAGGCCCAGTTGTTAAAAATCTAGTAATTCAGCTGCTTGATGCTAAAGCTGGTTCGGGAGTTGAAATAAGGAATCCTACAGAAACTTGTCCTCAAGGTGCCTCCCTGGAAACAACGGACGCTGAGCCTTAATGAGAGTTCTTATTGGAGAATACTGCATCACATGTCAATAAGCAGAAGACCTGCATCTGCTGCCCTTTGCTCTTAAGAATGTTTTTCGTTTGGTTTTAGCCACTAGAAATCAAGTCTTCTATAATCAACAGAATGAAGCAATAAATTTAAGGAAGAGTAAGTTTACTGCAAACATTGGCTAACTTCAAAAAAAACCATGTTCAGAGATTGGAAACAGTTTTGGGTTATGTAATGCTGTCACAGTATATTAATGATTCCTCTAGCATTGAGCATGGTTTCCAATATAACTGCATCAAAGATATTTCAGAAATTTTGGAAGTACTTTTTATGTATTTTTTAGGTTTGGCATGTAGTCCACTTGGATTAGGTTTTAAAAGCGCAAATATATTTGGGGTTGGAATCAAGTCCTATCAGCAATCGATAAAACACCAAGGATAACTTGTTGCTAAGGCACAAAAGTCAACCTCAATCAGATTTAGCTGGTCTCAACAATATTTCTCTGTGTAGTATCTGATGCCAATGTCCCAAGGTAGGGCATCCCAAATGCTCCAATTAACGATGACCCTTCTTGTAGCTATAATTCAAGCTTTGCAGCCATTCTTTTAGAGTGTATGATGTTATTACAAGCCTAATGTCTTTAGTATTTAGGTCAAACTTCGCACTTACCTGTTCTTTAGAGCTAATTCAAAGCTTCATTTTCCTCTTTTACCAGAAGAATTTCAATACTCAGAAATCCGATATTCCTTAATCTTAACCAATGAAGATTGCATAATTTCCTTAACCAACTTCGTTTTTCAATTAGACCGTCTAAGTCGTACTAAGTAGTACTTGAAAACTTTTCTCAATGCGTCTTCAGGAAATTTTCTACTTCATGGAGAACTTGTAAACTTTTCTCCTTTTCTCTTCAAAAGACCTAGTTGTGTCCAAGGCCTACTAAGCAGTACTTCTAGACTTTTATCCTTATCTCTTCAGATTACCTTCTACTTCCAACAGACTGATAATTGCAAATAGGTTTGCAGTACATGTAATAGTTGCCTAAATTACAGATATATTGTCACTGTAGAATGTCTAATAACAAAGAAAATTACCTCCTATTTCTGCAATTTTTAACTTCTCATGCAATATGACTCTTGCAGCAACTGCAGCCACAATTGGAGTAGTAAAGTTCAACATGATTGCCTGAGAAAGAGGTACTCTTTGAATGCTGAAAAGGAAATTAGCTCACACATTGTCACAAGTAAATCATCAAAGTCCACAAACATAACTCACCAAAAAAGAAAAACCAAACGCATGGAACAGCAGAGTAAAATAAAAGAACAAAATATTTAATTATGCAAATGAGAACATCAACCCCCCTCCCCTCCCCCCCCCCCCAAAAAAAAAGAACTAGCTCTGACGAACAACCCAAAAAATAGAAGAGAAAAGAAATTATATAACGGCTAAAAATGCTGCAAATGAGTTCCTTAGAAAGTCAAAGAATAGAACATGAGCAGATTTATTATCATTCCAACTGCCAATAAGGGTGATCTAAGTGCTACTTGAAAAACTGAAAGCAGCGTTGTAACAGATACAGTTTTTGCATAGTGGTGTGTAATATTGTGTAAGCTCAAAAGCTGTATTTGACAAAACAAAATAATTTAGCATGTGTACATCTAGAAAATGTTTAAGAACCAGAAAGTAAAAATGTAAGATAGATAAAAATATAGTGGCTTTATACACAATCTCAAAAGCACTCTAAGTTCTGCAGACAAGACTTAAAAGAAGCACTTCTGTAGCAACAGAGTATAGATACAATCTGTAATAAGTCCTCGGAAAAGGCTAAATCATGCTTCCACTTATTAAAATGATGTATAAACTGCATGGAAGAGAAATTTACAATAAACAAGATCAGCAGCTGAGCTTACTAAGTTGTTAGTCTGACCAAATGCAACTCAATTGGTTCAAGCATTAGAACTCACCAATAAATAAAACTCAACAATGAGAGGTATCCCATGAATGCTCTTAGAACCAATAGTTTTCTGACACTTGATGTACCAAATATTGGCTGTCTGCTTCTTTTCAACCATACAAACGACAAAATCAAAATAACTGTACATCTGGTAAATGCCATCTCAAAAAGAGGAATTGATTGAGCTGTCATTAAGGATGAGCAAAACGATTTATTCCATTAGAATGGGCACAACTTGAAGCATGGGAAGAGACAAGACATTACATGCCCTGAATGAAAAGATTACCCTGTCATTTTAATGACGAAAGATGAAAGTATAAAAGGACCCATTTCAATTAGAGATTCATATCAAAGTAAATAAAGGGGTAATCACGAAAACTCAGAACGAATGCTACATAATATACTTCTAAGATTTACCAAAAACCACCATTCTAACATCTAACTCTTTGCTCTGATTAAAAATCTGTATTGAGTTTCAAGATGGACATTATCGTGGTTGAAGCTAATATTGCAGAGCTGACCAAGCACTAAAAACAGAAAAATCTGTAACATGGTGACTTATAGAGCCAGGGCACCGTAAATCTTGCAGATCCATGGTCCAATTTTAAATGGAAAGCAGCATATTGAACTTGAAACATTTCTCACAATTCTCAAATATGTAAATAGTTGTTCAGCTTTAGCTGAAATGCCCACATTTGCATTAATTAAGCAGAAAAAAGAAAAGGATGTATTCAGACTTCTAAACAAAATAAATTAACTAGTAAAAAAAGAAACATTGCAATTATAGAGGAAAAAAGAGTAATATCCAGTCAATTCACCAAAGAATTGTCAATCAGTTAATTACATTTACTAAGACAAAAATTTAATGATTTATTACTTCATGAAAACATCTAAATATCATCTCTTCATATAATGGTTCAACTTTATATTTCTAATTGGATATTTTACCATCCAATTACTCTATGTATTATGGTCATCAAAGGACTGGAGAATCCATTAGTTTTGACAAACCAAAAAAGGATTTAACTGAAGGAAATCTCAACGTAAAGGAGATAAGAGGAAATCTCTGGCATAATTAAGCTTATATATGCCTTAAATGTCTTTGACTCTTTGACTCCTAAGACCACTATTTGACATCACCATAATTTAAAGCTATGCATACAATATTTTCCATGGTCGAGTGGGGGACATAGTCAAAGAAAATACAGCCAGTCATGGAGGAGAGGAGGGAAGCTCCCATATTTGAAAGATAAGGAACCTTCAAGCCCGAATCATGTACTCCACCTTTTCAATTGAAGGCCCAAATTTTCATCTACATAGTTCGGAAGGATTAGCTTTCACTCCTTACATTGATCACATAAAGTTATTAATGAGAGGACAAATCTTCACCAATCTCTTTCTCGTAAAGGAAGATGTAATTGGCCTCATGTTTATTCACACCAAGAAAAAAGATGATAACTAAATAAATCACACAAAGCTTATAATTGAAACCACAGAAATAAAGATCTCTCTTCAAAGTGCTAAGCAACTAACAACTTGTTCAAAATAACTTTTTGTTTGATTGAGAGCTATTATTCGTAAATTGAATCAGTGAGTTACTTACCAGTGAAAACATCTGAAAGAACTTCCATGATACAGTAGATAATAGATGATAAGGCCATGCATAGCATACCAGAGTACCTAGAACCATCCCATATCCAAACGGTAAACTGCACGAATGGTGATGTCTCTGTTTCAGCCAATCTTGTTATTTGCTCCTGTAAGATACTAAAAGTAAGAAATATAATAGCCTTTCCTATGTTTAACCAACATATTTGAAGCAGAACAAGCATAAGTGATTCATACCAATAAAACTATGGCCAGAAACAATTTACTTCTCTGGGAAACCAAATTAGCACATGAAATACTAGCCATCAACCAGATAACAAATTCTACCCACTGATGCATTCTGAACAAGACTAGAAATTTTTTTTCTTGATATATGTGTGTAAATTGGAATAAAACACAAGAATCAAGCAGCAGTACAATGCCTTTACATGAGAATCCCAACTCAAGAAAATTAAAAGACAATAAAAACTAGACAGCCAAAACAAAGACTTTTGAAGCTTCAATTTAATCATAATGATCAGCCAACCACTAAATACTCATCCTACTGCAAGAATTGATACTTCCTATTTCAGACAGATGTAACTTTGACTCATCATATTTTCAAACAACATCAGAAAACTATAAAAAAAAAAAATCAAAGGAAAACAGTAACAGATACAAAAGAGCTACTTATAGCATTCAATTAAATTTAAGGAGAAAGAGCAATATCCCAAATCCACTAGAAATCTAACACCAGTCATGTAAAACAAAGAGAATGATATTTCAGTAGGTAATCAAGTTCTTTTAAGTTATGTAGAAATAAGTGGCAAATAATGCCGTTACTCCCCTTTTCCAGTAAGGGTTTTGGTCAGTGAATTGTAATTAGTGTTTAGAGTTAACTACAGTAAACAATCACCAGCAATGACAGAATAGTCTATTTGCCCCTTCAAGAGTACTAACAGAATTAAACAGCTGGGACAAGATTAAAAGAAACTCAGATACTTGGGCTTCCATCTGAGGAGGTTAACTGTCATTAATGTTCTCTCCCACTTAGAAATTGTCAATTATGCTTCCTAAAGTATTGGAAGAAAACCAATAAAGTGAACAAGTTCCATGGAATTTCCAATGGGAAGAATATAAACCATCTCATCTTCATCAATTTCTCAGCTCAATCTTCAGCAATTCCTGATAATCTATCAAACTTAGAATCACTTGGCCATAAAATCCATCTTACTAAACCATCCACCGATCCAGCATTTGATACTACCAGATATTCATCGTCTTTCAAACAGGTAAAGTACTGGATCTAAAACCATTCCCTTTCAAATAATAATCAACCCTTTTTTTCAAACAATCAACCTTATAATAGCACAAAACTTTGATCGCCAGCTCAACACAACTAACCAAAAATCGAAAATTAAGTAGCTTATATTCAAAGCTTTGAAATTTCATCCTTTATCACAAATAAATAACTATTACATATATTTTCCTATTCATAAGTAGTTTCTCAAGAAATATAATTGACAGTGATCACCCAACAACAAAAAGAATACGATTCCAGTATAAGCAAAGTCAAGTCTATGCAATTTTAAGGAGTGAAGTTCAACTTAGATTAGAAACATATCCGAATTTCAAATACTAGCTCCAAAAATCTACTATACTAAGCTCGGCTTGATCAAATAAATAAACATTTTTTTCCGTTTGAGTAATTAACTATCTATAGAACATTATTTCTACTGTAAATTACACAAATAAACAAATGTTTGAAGCCAAAAAAAAAAAATTCATAAGAAGGAACCATATAAAATTATAAACTACCAAAATTACCATGCTATATTCGCCACAAAAAAAATAAAACAAAA